CTTTTATAAGACAAAAAATTGATACGAATCGTTCGTTTATCCGAGTTAATTTGTTGAATATGATTAGAGGGGTAAGTACCTGAAAAATGAGAACAAATTGTCATTGTACTTGGACAATTTTCTGACACTGATTTACGGTATTGATCGATACTCGATTTTCGGTACTGATTTACTCTTTCATTTCTCTACAAGAAAAAAATTGACACGACTCGTTCATTTATCCGCGTTAATTTGATGAATAAATTAAATATTGGTCGGTCTTCAATTTTCGGTACTGACTGATTCTCTAATTTCTTTATAAGAGAATAAAAATTGATACGAATCGTTCTTTTATCCGACTTAATTTGTTGAGTAAATTAGTGGGGTAAGTACATGCAAGATGAAAACAACTTGTCATTGCACTTGGACAATTTTCTTGACATTGATTTATGGTATTGATCAGTCTTCGGTTTTCGGTACAGATTTATTTTTTCATTTTTTTATAAGACAAAAAAAATTGATACGAATCGTTCGTTTATCCGAGTTAATTGATCACTTATCCGTTAATTTGATGAAAAAATTAGATATTGAATGGTCTTCGATTTTCGGTACTGATTTACTCTTTCATTTCTCTATAAGAAGAGAAAAATTGATACGAATCGTTCATTTATCTGAATTAATTTGTTGAATAAGATTAGAGGTGTATGTATGAGAAAAATATTAGTTCCCATTAAATTTTACTGCGCTAAATGCGAGACAGTCTCTTTCGCCCAGGTGCCTCACCAGGGAAATTTCTCTGGTACTCTAAATCCCGTAAGGCCATCAGTCTTTGTAGTATATCTCGTCGGTGCATAAGGTTTATATTACCTGTACATACATATTTTGAAACATTTTCTTTGGATATTATATCAAACGGATTTTGCGTGTCACGTAATATCCTTCGGACTACACGGCGCTTTTATTCCTCAGATTTCTGTCATTAATAACTCGATAATTATTGCGAATCTCGCAAAATGGTATGGGACTTTTATGTTTGTCTTAACCCAATCTACCCTCACACTTCGGGTTGGCAGCTAATTACCGGACACTTCGTATGATCTTCATGATATTAATCATACAAAATGTCATTTCTTTTTTTTTGCATATGTTAACATGTTAATTCATGTTATAAACGCGTAACAATGTGCGAGACCGTGCTTGTCAAGTACGCTTTTATGGTTGTAGCACGGACATAAACCGCCTAAAAATGGATGTAACACGGACTGCCACCACATACAGGTTTTTTTACCGCCGAAACCTGAAAGTGGATGTAGCATCGTAGTTCCCCTCTCAAAATGGATGCAGATGACGTCCTTTTCCAATGTGGAAAGTCGGTGTCGTCGAAAATATCGTGTTGGCCGCTTTCACGTTCCTCTCTAGTTTTTACTGTTCGTTCTCTCTCGCTCAGTCCCGATGGAAGGAGTATAGGGAAGGCAGTTGCTGTACAGTGCTGTACAGTAACCAGCGCCCCTATTCCCCTAGAGAGAACGAACAGTAAAAATAGAATGCTTCCTTTTCTACGAGAGTTATACCTCCACTCTTGAAATTTGGGAGAACGCGCAGTCTAGATATGCTATGTCTATGGGCTGGAAGACCGATGTAATGCCCATGTGTTTCTGATGTACTTAGGCTAGAATATGAAAAAGACATTTTATATGAGAAAATAAGCACCGTAATATTATCCTCAATCTGAGAAATACTAATTAGAAATACAATAAAGAGAATAATGCGTGCGCGACACTTCTTTCTTATGACTAACTTAACCATAAAATTCCTTATGAACTTTTCGACACTTTCCGTATTATGTTTTTTGAACTCTGCTAGATCCTCGGAGTGAAGAGTA